CCAAGTAGGGCTGAGCTGTCCAGGCCTTTATACTCATGCACAGAGCAGTCATTGGATGAGAGGACACGTCCTGGGTGAAGTAGGTCTCTGCAGCCAAGGCAATGTCTGAAGGGGCAGACAACTGAAGGCTCTATGTTGACAACACTCCCAACACTAGGGGCAAAAAAGTCTTTCCCGATGTGGAATCCAAATAGTAATGAGTGCATCATGTGTCCACTACATTTGTAGAGAGGATTAAAACATTGAGAGAATAGATGATATTTAAGGACATTTCCATTTGAATTTCTATGATTAAGTGAAAGAATGTGTGCACTTTAAAACTGCCTAGAAGAGACACGGCATATAGATGGTAAGCACCAAGTAGTAGCTAGTTTGATGTCTCTAGAACTTTGGGCATGGAAGGGTCATTCAGTGGCGGCGGTGGTTTTGAGAGTAACAAGTGATGCTGGACTTCTGCATGTGTATCTACCTCCCAGAAGGTGATGATTGGCATCACTGTGTGGACAACTTCTTTGCCAGGGAGTGTTCTCTGCCTGACTAGGCTGGGTTTGGCTTATTCCTCTAGATATAGTTTTATAAAAAGGAATGCCTTAAAAAATATTCAAAGTTAATTACTTTCATTTTCCAATTACAAGGACCAGATCCTTCCTGTGGAAGTAGCAGACAGAGGTGGAGAAAATGATTATAAAGTTAGGAAATGGTGTTTCTTCTTGACGCTGGTGCTTAATCTGTGATGTTGGGTGAGTTCCTCATCTTCTCTGGTCTCACTTTCTGAGACTTTAAAATGAGAAGGCTGGATTTTATAATCTTGTGATTATGTATGTGCTCTCTTGGCAAATGAGTTTCAGACATTGACAATGCCAGATTGCTAGGCACGAGAACCTAGCAATTTTAGAATTACTTTTTTAGATTTTAGAAGTAGTTTAACCATCATTTCTTAAGTAGCTCAGTTTTTTAGAATGATCCCAGCATATTTCTTGGAGGGCAAAGTAGTGGGACAGATTAATTTCATTCTTATTTTAAATCTTACAGTGAAAGGCTATAAAATAGAATATCTTAACATCTCATGCGTCACATGCGAAGTCTGAATGGTACAATTAAAGGGGCAAGACTACTATTTTCTCTGTAGACTTTTCTTTTTGCTTTTTATTTTGATGACAAAAGTCACTAACAGTGCATTCCTAGGCCACCCATTAACAGAGGCACTTCTGGGGAAGGTTATAAAGAAACTCTGTAGGTCAAGGCAGCAGCTTCTTGAACTTCACATATATTTAAAATTATTTGGGGGCAGTTTTATTGTAAATTTGTTGTATAACTACGGGACCATCTTTTTGTGGTGTGAAGTCTTAACTATCTAATCAAACAGACCAGCAGATAGAAGTGATGCTGGGTCCCTGACCCACTGCTATAGCCCTTGAATAAAGCTAGAAGAACGACAGGGTCAGTTTGGTTCCCTGTAGGGATGAATTATGAAAGTAACAACTATAATTTATCCAGAACTGTATAATTTTCAGAGCATTTCTCATTTCACATAGAAAAATCAAAAGGGGTTTAGTACTATTATCCACATTCTACAAAAGAAACAGAGGTTCTGAGGGATTAAAAGACTTGTCCAAATTCACAGAAACCAGTTTTTTTAATTTGTTTTTTTATTTTTAGCCCCAAATGTTATGTCGTTTTCAGTTGCCTTGCCTATGCAAATAATTAGCAAATTTTCCTTGCATTTATATGTATATATATCTAGTTCTAGTTACTAGTTTTACATTTTTCATGTTTTTCTTTAAAGAAAACATAGTCCGTATCATGAATTTTCAGTATGCAGGAGGAGCTAGCAAATTGTAAATTTTCAACAGAGGAGTAACCAATATAATTCTACCACGATATTGGTTTGTATTGTTGTTTTTTCTTTTAAATGTTACATGTAAATTAACAAGAGGTAAAAATAACAAATACACTTGTTTCAAGATGTGATTGTGTTCAGCAATGATTATTTTATTGACTAATAAAGGTAAATAAATTACAACCATAAAAAGAGACATTCATCATCATTCATGTGTTGTTCAGGATTGTTCAGAACCTGTGGTTACCAATAGGAAATTAGGGCTTTTAATGACATGGTACACAAGGTCACGGCTGTTGGATGAAAAGGGAAAAGCCCTATCACACATTTCTTTAAATGATTTGACATCAAATAGTCATAGCCAAAATGTACTCTGTGCAGCTGAAAAAATGACACCTGGCTCTTTAAGAACTGTAGTGTCTCATTTGACTTTTCACCTTGCAACCTTGAAGGAAATAAAACTGTGACAGTGCCTAAAATCAGAACTCCTCATTTTAAAACTTTTGCCACAGAGCTCGCTCTCTGTCATAACACCTGTGCTTAGTGATATGTTGAGAACATAACCATCTGCATGGCTTCAATAGGACACGTTATCATTTGAAAGAAAATGCTTTGAAATAGGGTCCAACCTACCTTTGAGGTTGGGAGGGATGGTTTTATTTACTTTCCAGTGGGAAGCTATCTAGTTTAGATTACAGAAGAATTAGAGAATTATCTGGTTTGATTCTGACATCAGAAGAGCAGATATTTGGAAAGTGCTTCAAAGCAACTTTGATAATGACAGTGGAAACTGCTAACATGATATCTTGACTTTAAAACATTTGGTTCTACATTCCGTTTTAGCAGTGAGCCCCAAACTTTTGTTTTCTTTAATCAAATACCGCTTACAGGAAAGAATGAGTAAAATCTTAATTCTTTTTACTCTGTAATGACAAACTTTCAACCATATTATAAAATAACCCATTAAACCTTGATCAGACTCAGTTGTCCTTATATTCTTCTGCCATGGGGGGGGGAAAAATCCCAGTATAAGCTTCTCTAATAGTGAGTATATGATTTCTTACCCACAAATAATTGAGCCAAGATAGCTCAGATATCAAGCAAGACTGGAGTTTCTAAAACTTTTTCCTAAAAGAATATGTGCTGATTTAATAACTAACCTCTTTTGGTTGCTGCCATACAATTAGTATTGTATATATTACTATTACTATTATGGCTATTACTATGAAATTATGTTCATATCCAGGTTCTCTGTGTCCAGAAACAGCAACACATATTTAAATACTTTAAAATAAAACCAGTATTCATTAGTCACATTGATCTTAAACATGAAACTCTATTTTATTTTACAAAACATGAATCTTAGTATTTTTTAACAGCTGTGATGACATGACACAACCAATTTAATTAAAAAGTGTGAGGAAAGGTTTCAGATACCCTTATTTTGAAAATACAACAAAAAATTCCTAATAGCTGCCTAGATATTTTTAGGGGTGAAGAGATTTAAATATTTAAATCTGTATATCCCCTAAGTTTTAAAATGGTTCTATTAATAAGATATAAAAGCAGGACTCAGGGGCACTGAGAATGGATTTGGCCTCCGTCAAAAAGTTTCATAAGCTCTTCCCACACATACACTTATATTTAGTGAAACTGCTAAAGTTTCTTTACATAGTTTTCCTAGGTCTCTTTCCTGGCTGCAGGACCCTAGTAATTTTCTAGATTTCTCTCTACTCTTAGTGGCCCTGCCTGGACCGCAATGCCAGGCTGAAGGATGTCTGAAGAACTGAGTTGGAAGAAAACATATGTATTTAAGGGCATTTAGGATCAAGTTAAACAGAATTTTCACCTGGCATTCAAGAGGACAAGATCACATCCTTTGAAACTATATCAGGGAAGGAACAGTTCACCAATTGCTTTTTGGAAGGCCACTTAATTTTTGCTGTTCTCATCTTTCCCCTTTGCCAAAAACTCAAACCATATAAATTACCACTTCTTGATCTGGAACGAACATAACAAACAGTCTCTGGTGAAATAGCCCTTCCCATAAGTCAGGCTCACTTTGTTTTATAGATCAGTGGTCAGCAAACCTTTGCTGTAAAGGGCCAGAGGGTAAATATTTCAGGCTTTGTGGGCCACTACTCGACTTTCTTGCGACTCAACTCTGTCATTATAGAGCCCAAGTACTCACACACTATAATACATACCCAAATGAACATAACTATGTTCCAATAAAACTTTATTTACAAAACAGTTAATGGGCCAGCTTTGGCCAGAGGGCCACAGTTTGCCCATCCCTGTTCTAGATAATAACCACAAATGATGCTTCTGTTTTGAAAACTGCGAAGTACTTCCCATGATTCTAGTTAGATTAATGCCCACTCACACAATATTTAGGTACTCTGATAGTATATAGATCCATAGCTGTGGTAGAAGAAGCCCGCGAGAACTGAGGATTCAGTTTATGACTCACAGCTGCAAATCAGCATGATCAGAAATTTATATGAACCTGGAAGTGCTTGTTTCTATTTTATTAGAAAACCTGGGCATGTAGCTGTTCCTGGCTTTTGCTAATCTTGGAGCGGACATCAGGAGCAGAGGATAATGGCTCTTCTGGTGCTGTGGTGGCAGGGGCAGATTCAGAGAAAGGTAATAAATTACAGGTAATATGGCTCCTCAGCAGCCTTAAAGGGTCAGTGCCCAAGGCACCAAATATAAGTCAGCACTAAGGGATTCATTGCTCAAACAATTGGGCTGATCCACTCAGGTAAATTTGCTTAATACATGGCTGAAAACCAAAAATCAAAACCAAATATATAAAAAGTTGTGAGAGCAGCAATGGCCATGAATCACAAAATTCCCTACAGGTAGAGGAAATCTTACCCATCATCTTAGCCAGCCCTTTCTTATTACCAGTGGGGAGAACAAAGCCTGAAGAGGGACAGGTAACTTGCTCAGTTAGTTTGTGGAAGAATCGCCAAATCGCAGCCATTTGACTTTCAATCTGTTACTTTCCTCTAGAGAATCTGAATTTCAAGGGCATTTACCAACCATATAAACACGCATGTCATGAGATTATGACAGCTAAGTAGTACCTGGCTACCCTTAAAGACAGTTTTCTGTTGGGATATAAATGGTGCCAGAGGACATATGAAATTTGCTGAGAGGAACAGAATGCATTCCATCACTGGTTTAATGTAGCTGATAAAAACCTCACGGGATAAAGCATTAAATGGCCATCTTCCCACGAGTATAAGTGCTGGTCTCTCATATTGTATGATAACATGGCAAGAACAGACTGCGAAGTTCTTAAATCAAAGCTTGCATTAATCTGTTTCCCTCCTAACAAATCGAAGGCAAATGTTATCCTCATATCTTTGGTGTCTGTGACATAGAGGATCCCTCGGGCAATGAAGGCGTTGCCAGCCTTAGATTTGGGGTATGTGGTATTGATGTGTTGCACCACAGAGAACGTCCTCTCATCCAGTTGGGCTACAAGAATGCTTGAGCCGTCCACACTGGAAGCATAGATAATCCAAAGGCCCTTTTCATCTACAGCTAAATTGAAGTAAGTCTTGGAATTGGCGAAGAGGTATTTTCGATCAAAATACAGGGCATTTTCAAGCTTCAGTGTTTGGGATGTTTCTTTGCCAAATTCGAATCTGAAATGTGTAAAAAAAAGTAGATATGAGTCACCATTTTTATGGACAAGGGTGGTTTTTTAGGCTCCTTTATGAAACTGGGTGGGGCCTGTGATTCTGCATTTCTAGTAAGTTCCCAGGTCATACCCATTCTACTAGTCCATCCCAATGCTATGAGCAGCAGGGGTGTAAAGGATGATGACTACATCTAAGTGTCCACCTCCTAGCCCTGTGACCCCAGGAAAATCCCTTAACTTCAAGAATCCTTGAGTGTTTGCTGACTCCTGAAATGCCCTCTCAAAGATTCCTAGAATTGCAAGGGACTGCAAAAGATGGTCTAGTACAGTCCTTCGATTTTACAAATGAAAAAGGAGACGTAACTGGCCCAAGAACACTCAAGTAAGTAACAGAGTTTGAACTTAGGTGTTCTAACTCCAAGTTTGGGGGTTCTTCCTCTACTCTGTGCTGGAATTTTAAGTCAAAAATTTCACAGCAGTCTACATTAAGAAGAAAGTCACTGGCTGGAAGAGATGTAGCAAAGTGATGGCTGTAAAGTCAATTTTTTTGTCCAGTAAGTAACTGGGTAAATGAAACCATGGCATGGAATCCCAAGCCCTCGGCTCCTGGAGGCCGTCTGATTTGACAGATTCCAAATCTAGACCATATCAAAAAGGGAATTATGGTTCAAAATGCACCTGACTCCAGGAATGAAAATTCAGGTATGTAGGCTAAGAGAAAAACACTAGGGGGTACCATTGAGCCGCAGAAGAAACATGAAGCGTCAGAATCTGTGGCTATGCATTGGAGCATAACAAACTTGAAGCCAATTAAGAAACCCTGAAGTAAGTTTGAGAAGAAGCCAAAGAAGGGAGAGGGCTTGAGAAGGCCCTGTCTGCCCATTTCAGCTTCCAGGACTCTTTTTCCTTTGAACTCCTGGAATTCAGGACTGCTGTTTGGTCCCTGTCTAGCACTGGCACCTAGCAGCTGCATTCCTTGATGCGGTTTGTCTCTCCATGTGAGAAAAGGGTCTAATTTGATCTGCCTCCCACTCTGCTCCCAGGCCTGGCATAGGGCCTCTGTACAAGTCTTGAATCAGTGCGTCACACAAGTTTAGCCTTATTAGAAGACTTAGAGGGACCAATCCTCTTTCAGGGGCTCATTTATCCCAGAACTCCACTACCATCCCCATTTTCATGTAAAAACAGCCCTATATAAATGGCAGCAGGGACCCACAGGGTTAAATGAGGGTTAAATGAGGAGAACTGGACAGGAAGGAGAATGTCTGGGGAGCAATGACTTCTGAACAGGAGGCGGGTCCATGGTCCTTTTCTATTAACACAAGAGTCTTGCCCAAATGAGGTGTCTAGGGAGATACTGAGATGATGGGGAGTCTGGTAGAGGGGGTGAGAGGCAAAGAGGCTGACACATGTGTCTAGTGTGGCTGGTTTAGCTGCACGTTATACGAGAAAGCCTGTCTCCATCCTAAGCTGAGCACTCCAAGGCTAACAAGCTTGTGAGGGAGAGAAGGGTCCTAGTCCTCCCTTCAGGTGCTTGTCTCTGACCTTGAATGACGAGGACCACGGCTTTCGTAACACTGAGACTGTTGTTTCAGACAGGGCTACAGCTAGAGGGCTTCAGAGGCTCTGGTCCATCTCTTTATTTTTATTGAGGATGTGGGAACCACAGGAAGTGGTGTCTCTTGTCCAAACCCATGGAGGGGGCAGGCAGAAGAGCTGGAACCTGATTTCACTGCTCTCTTGATTTGCCCAGGATGACCTGCTTCTGCCTTTAAAGCCCAGACCTTGATTTCTTTTTGAACCATGAAGACAAAACTTCAATTTTTGTGGGGAGCCAGGAAGACTTAGCTGCTGCCCTGGGCACTGTCTATCTGGGTGACCACCTCTTCTTCCCTTTAGGAAAGCAGAGGGTATCCTGGTGAGAGCGACATAGGGATGACAGATCTGAAGGCAGAGACGCCTCGATTTTGCTTTGTAGTCTCTAGTCTTCAATGTTCTCAGCTGTGATGTGAAATTCTTCACACTCAAAGATTTTCAGAACAAAACCGATTTTGGGGTTTGACACCTTGCTGCCAGAGGGAGCTCTGGGCTCTGGCTGCTTCCTTTCTCAAAGGATGAGAAAGCTGCACCCCTTCCCATTTCAGATCTGTTTCTCTTTGGTTCTGACTCTATTCTTGGTGTCCAGAGCAGTATTAAATGCAGAACCCAGGCAGGGGCTGGGACATGGCGCTCACTCAATGTGTCCTGTGGTTCAGTCAGTCAGCAAACCCTGATTGACCTCTGACTGTGTGCCAGGCCCTGGGGACATAGAGTGACGGAAACACAGATCCTACCCTTAAATAGCTCACGGATAACAAAAGCTCCACATAGGTGCTGCCTGGGATGCATGTCCGGGTAACTCACCTCACTATGGTGTTGGAGCCTCCTTTGTGGTAGTAGAGAGAGCCGTTGTAGACGGCATGCCCACAGCCATGGAAATAATATGGGAGGTGGATGAGTGAGTAACTGCCATTCAGCAGGGAGGGCTGGTCTTCGAATTCCTTCACCCTGATGCCTGCAAGAGGGAAGCCAGGGAAAGGCGGTTACCATCTCTCTGGCCTGACAATCGCAGCTTGGGAGTGAGTTGGGGAAGGAAGATCAAAGAAGGGAAGTTGGAGTAAGATGTCCTGCAAGGGTCCTTGTCCAGCTGGAAGAGTCTCTGACTCTCAAATTCAAAATTCCATCTCTCCTATGGATTCTGAATCGTCTTTCGAACGCAGTAGCCACAGAGTCAGCTTTGTTCCTCCCAGGAAAACTGTCACCCTCTACCCACTCCACTCTAGATTGTTTAAAAAATTCTCTATTAGACTGACACAGGCCTGTACCAGGAATAGGAAATACCTGGCAGTTGTTCAGTCCTGCCCTCCACAGCTGCCACTGCTAATTCACATTATTCCTCTTTCCTTTTGAGCCACAGAATGCTTCTCAGCTGATAATCTTGGCAGTCTCTATCAGCTAATCAGTTAGCCTTGAAGAAACGAAGTGGTATGTTTTAGCTATTTCTCTGACCAGTGACTGGCCAGACTCCTTCTGGAACGAGACCGTTGTTACCACGACCAGCAATTCCTGACCACATCCCTTTGGGACAGTGTGACTAAAGTCATGCTCAGATGCAGTATCCTTGCAAGATGGCACTTCACCTTCTCCCCTGGGCTCTCTGTCCAACAGATATCTAAGAAAGATGGCCAAAAGTATTTTTCTGGCGGGTGCCAACCTCAGAGACAGATGGACAGTGCAAAAGATTTTGTCCCTGACATTTCTTCCCCATTATGTTTTGGGGTTTACAAGGCCATCAGTCATAACACTGTGTTGTTTCCTTCTGGATATTGTGCCTAAAATTGGATAAGCTACATTAGAGGTGCCCTGGTCACCATCAGTGTGTTCAAAGGAAAAAAGTAATCTGCCCACTCATTCGTGTTTTCTTAAACAAAGAACGATTGTTACACTAATTAGCAGGGATTTCAGACACACAAAAAGAGAATCAGCCTGAAAGTAGGCAACAGATAAAAGACACAGATGACCACAGATAAATCATCTGCCAAGTGAAAGTACCTGAAAAATGTTCGGTCACCCAGATCCGTTCGTCACTCTTGTTAGCAGACTCTCTTATCCAAGTCCCAAATGTCTCTGTAACTTTTAATACTTGCACTGGATCTCCAATAGAAGTGATTGTGGATGCTACCAAAAGAGGAAATAGAAAAGTTACTCACCCGCCAATTATGACCTTAAGGCATCCAATTTCTGACTTTCGAAATAGGATGCTTTCTTTTTTTACCTGCTTGTGGGGAATGGTGTTCATTGACTTTATCATCAGCTTTTCCAACCAAGGTATCATCATTGGGGATAGCACATGTCTCACCTGAAATGACGACAATAATCGGAGCAAATGCAGTTGGCCCAGTGAGATTTGTATGACTCTGCAGCTGGCACTTTCCCCACCTCAGTACAGACTCTAGGCCCATAGCATCCCTTAAAATAGGGTCACCAAGTTTTTTGGTTGCTTGCTTTTAAACAACAAGTCCTGCGCTTCCAAATATTACCCACTGCTCGAGGAGTGACCACAGTTGCTAAGAATCCCATGAGGATGTCAGTAAAAAGGGGAAAAGTGACCTGAGCCAGCCCATTCAAGCCTTCAGTAATCTGAGGGAGATGTTTACTGACACGTTCCTGGACTCTCTGGGCAGGTGGTATTACTACTATCAGGACTGCATTTTTCCGAAAAGGTTTTCATTCTCTGGGAAACCAATAGAGAGGTGTGGGGGGCAGCCTCATGAAGGGATATCCCACTTTGCCCCTTCTTCCTGGACTGCCAGGAGAGGAAGCACAGAGGAAGACAGAGGCTCAAGGCAGCTCGCCCCAGAGACGCTGAGCCCCACACCACCATCTCCCCACCTGCTGTCGCTGGGAGGCCTATGGAACTCGGGTGCTTGATGGACACCTGATCCACCATTAGTTTGAGGCTACACCTGAATTGGAATTCATTGTCTTCAGCTTGTCATTGTTCCCGTAACGAATGGGTTTAATTCAGACCTTTGAGGAGGAGGTGGCTTAGGGTGGCAGAAACAGGACAGCAGGAAGGAAGGAAGACTAGAGGGAGTGGACTGGCTGGGGTCAGGGCCCTGGTCTGGGGCAGGCTGGGGCAAGTCGGGCTTTCTGGGA